TTAGAAAAAAAACATGTTTGTGGGATAATGTTGTCCTTATCCTAAAAGAACGTTCATTTGACCCTTTTTACTTCTTTAAACAAGAACTCCGTCACGACCCGATGTTTTTTTTTGGGGGGGGGGGCGAAGGTTGTTTGAAGTCGATTCTTTCCATGCAGCATCCATAGGCACAATGTTAAAAATGTAAAATATTGGGGGACACGTCCCCCGTACCCTTCCCCCCCCCCCCCGGTGGTGGAGCCCATGGTCTTAATTCCGCTCGCTGAACCGTTTAAGATTCTTTTGTCTCGTTTGTGCTTATTATTTTTCCACTGTTATTATTTTTTCCGACTGTTTTTTTTTTTTTTAATGCCTACACACATATTTTCGCACACTATTCGATTTCAGCGAGCATTTTCAACCTTCCTTACATATTAGATTATTAGATACCGCGGCGAGACGCGTTTGGACGTGACATACTTATTTCCATTACTGTTAAGTATAACACATTTTATGTGATTGTTTCAAGCTGATTTTAATATTGGACGCCCATGGAAGTGTTTTGCGAGACTAAAACCCGAATGTTAAGGTGACCATCCGACCTTCACCCGCGCTGTGCTGGGTGGCGTTTTACGCCCCCCCCCCCCCACCCCGCCCCCTCAGGTTTTTCGCGAATATCTAAGAACGGCGGCGCGCAGCGCCACCATTTTCGGCACACCTGCTCATACATTTGTTTCTGCATATGAAGAAATTTTAGACCCAGGTCGTTCAAGGTCAGGTCACGTCAAATGACTTAACATCGGAAAAATTTCAATGGTCGCTGACGATCGCACCGTTCGCAACGTGCCATGGAAACCGTTCGATATTTTTGTCATTTTCGCTCAGGGAATTCACCGCTCGATTTCACACCAGTTTGAGGTAAAATGTCAAAAAAATATCGAACGGATTTCATTGTATAGCGTTTTTGATACTGTCCCATCACCATGTCTCAAGTATCAACCTTACGGCATGTATAAAATATGTTTGCTAGTGCAATAAAACACCTCATATGTGTTCAGCTTGACGGTTTGGATCGACTGATATGCAACATGACCTGGTCAGGTCAACCTAAGGTCAAGTTTTAAATATGGCCTTTCAAGGTCTAATTATAGTTCATTCGTCCCGACGAGAAGAACACTATGCTAACGGCAAAATAAATGTCGTGACTCTTGAGTGGAAAGTATTACAGAAAACATTTTGGTAAAAACGGCTTTTTAGAGTTTTTGCTCTCTGGAGGCTTAATTGTTGACCTGAGGTCAAATCTGAGATCAAACGCCAGCAAGAAAAAAGTCGAAAGGGCTTTTGACTGCATTTTTCCGCGGGCAGCTCTTTTGGTTCCGAGTTAAGCACCAGTTTTTCGAAAATATTGAAATAAGCAAAATTTGGCCTTTCCTGACCTCTGGTGACCTGGCACTTGACTTGACCTTAAAATTACCCAAGTATTTCCTTAAATATCTTTAATGCTTTTTCGAAAGCCGCTTACGGCGTGTCGCTACGTGGCCCAACCCCAACAGCCGAGTTAGAAGAGGGGACGTGAAGACGACCCCCTCCCCTCAGTACATCACGGTAAACTCAGAGCACCAGCACGGCGCGGTTTAACATTAATTTTGAGCTGAGGTAACTTGATAACTTTTGATATTTCAATCACCTTGCATGCCCTATAACTTCCGTTTCTCTTACTGGCAAAAGAAAATCTGATTTTTTATTGTGTTTTCAGGGAACGGCCCATTGAGCCTCCTCTGCATCTTGGCGGAGAAGGCGTCAGTGGTGGCGTACACGGGTGACGAAAATTTGGATCACCCCTATCATAACAAGTCTGAAGAAAACGAACGGTGCCGCCTCATCGTGGAGCGAACGGAAGTCTTGTGGGGATCCATGGTTTGGAAGGGAGTCTTTTGCTGTGGGCGACGGCGCACTTTGTGCTCAGTCAACAAACGGCGCACAAAGTGCGAAACACGCTGTGGTTTGTGTGTATCCATGTGCTCCACACACCATTCAATGCTGAGCGCCAGCCACCTGTAGGCGCGAAGACTGAGGTCGAGAAGCTGGCAAAAGAGTGAAGCTGAGCTGACGTGGAGTTGATCCCCCCCCCCCCCCGACGCAGTTTGGCGTGTGTCAGAATTGAAATACAGCGCAATGCGACCGTTTCTACAAACATGTATTTCTTGTAAGGGCTGGGGCGAATAGTGCAAGACTAGACGTTGGTCGGGCATGGTATAATACAGATATGTATGCTGGTTTTGGGCAATGATTCGTTATATATTGGCCAATCCCAATATATAGACTAGCTGCCTGGTAGTGGCTGTTGTATGAGCATCATGCATGCATATTGCATAATGCTGATGCGGCAGCTGTTATCATGGGCGGCGAGCCTATACATTGGCTTGAGCCAATATAAAACGAATCCGATCAGCCGTTTCAGGCGGCGCCTGAGTAACACCCGAGTATCGTATGAGTTATCGACGTGAGTACGTCCTGAGTACAGCCCTAGTTTTCACTGAATAACCGATGAGTTCCAACTGAGTTATGGCCGTACTACCACCTGAGTTATACATTAGTACCAGCTGAGTTACATGTGAGTTACTTCCTAGTTTTTCATGAGTAATGACTTACTAATACCTGAGTTTGGCCTGAGTTGTCTGAGTAGGACATGAGTTACGCATGAGTACTTACTGAGTTTTATCTGAGTTTTACCATCGGACAAAATGGCAACTCACTTTGTTACTCACATGCTACTCACTTGCAATGAGTTTTGCCCGAGTTTTACCTGCGTTCCGCCCTGAGTTTTACCTGAGTACGCGGATTTAGAGTGAGTTTTACCATTGGACAAAATGGCAACTCAGTCATTACTCAGAAAAGTGAGTAAAAATTTTTTTCAGTGTAGTGGTGGAGTAGCGACGGTAGCGGCCGGGGTAGCAACGGCAGTGTCTGGGGTTGTGACGGTAGCGGTTGAGTAGCGACGGTAGTAGTCGGGGTAGCGACGGTAGTGCTGCGTGTCGAAAGGCGTGATGACGCGTGACGTCGTGACGAGTGACGTGATGGATGGTGTGACGGTGTGGTGAGGCGTGACGATTAGGGTAAAGTGGCGTTTGAACGGTGTCAAGCGTGACTGGGTGGGTGCGGAAACTATCTGAGTGACATCGAACTGGATGTGATTGATTGTCACCCACGCCAACATAGTGAACAAGCATGAACTCCAAATGTTTTGGTAAGCACTGCATTGCGTTTTGTCCTTCCGACCAGACCGTCCAAGTATGAAGTGTGAGCACAGGCAGTCTCACTTGAAAGTGATGATAATGACGAATCTCAACAATACCATAGATTTAACCCTCGCACGACCAGGCCATTTCTCATAACACGAACGACCAGGGGGGGGGGGGGGTTGTTACGACCCCCCCCCCCTGGTAACAACCCCCCCCCCCTGGCGTTTCGAAACGGAAGGTCGTAGAGCTTAGCGGAAAAACCAACGGATTGCTCTCAACGAGATCTCGCGATTGGTGGTATATTTTTTGGTCCTAGGTCAACATTTGACCTACTTATGACCGGTCAAAGGTCAAATTTTCCGAAAAAATCAAACTTTTTCAACTTTGCGCAACGATTGCGGCAAAACGGTTGAGAGATATTAACTTCAAACCTTCAACAACGTATTCCCCACTCAATTCTGCATCATATATGGTGTTTTTGGTGTATTTACCCTATAAAAGTAAGAGGCCTATTGCTGATGAGTGATATGGTGTCACATCACCCTCCGGTGTTTGTCCCGATTCGTCGGCTGTTGACCACTGCTCCGCTATAAATACCTACTGTAGGTAACGACTCAGAAAAGATATGTGGATATCCACTGCAATGTGGATAGCATCAGCAGAAAACCTCGGGACTCGGTACACACTTCGTGAAAATCCGGCCGGAGGCTGTACCTCTTATGACGTCATAACTCCGTGACCTGACCTGACCCGGTCAATTTTCTTGCACCACACGATAGCCAATGCTTGCCCCAACATGCATGGGAAGTTTCATCATGATCCATCAAACAATGTGGGTATCACCGGCAGAAAACCTAGGGATTCGGCGCACACGTTTGGTAACTGTCGGCCGGAGGCTGTACCTCTTATGACGTCATAACTCCGTGACCTGACATGACCCGATCAATTTTTTTTCGGCAAAAGATGCGCAAAGGTTGCCCCAGAGGGTATTGAAAATTTCAGCCCGCTACGACAAGCCGTTTAGCGTGCACTTCGAAAAAACCTCAGGGGGGGGGGGTGATACAACCCCCCCCCCCCCTAGGCGTTCTAGGGATAATGTGTCGGATGCATCGACTCTTCTCGACCATCGAGTCCAAAGCACTTGTCAAAACGCGAACTACTCGTGAACATTACGAAAGCACCTTTCGATGTCCGAAATGGCTTTAATCCCTAGATGAAGTCACGAAGAAATACGAAAAATGGCACCTTTTGGCATCGGAATTTTGGGTGACTTCGGCAACTATCCCAATTGAACTTAAAATGTCATATCATAACTGCTCGAACGCCTGATTTTTCTCTCCGCGGTAAGCTAAAGCGCAACGCAAAAACGCAATCACTGACCTTGAATCAGTGTGTGTGGATTGGAGTTTTCCGGCTCAGCTCAAACGGTTCAATGGGACGCTGAATGGCAACAATTTAGCTCGATTGAGCACCAAGCTGCGTGTAGGACTTGACACTATGTATGCCGGCAACGGACTTTCGAATGCTCTTGGTTGATGACGACCAGCTCTTAGCTCAAGCATGTTTGCTTGGGTGAGAATGTCGAACAAATCGTTGAAACTGCAAATATTATTCATCAGTTCTTGCAAGTGATGCCCAATATTCCCAGAAACGCTTGGATTGTTACGCGCAATGGCCTGCGTTGTAAACGTTGTCAGATAGTTTTGTGCTCTTGCCTGGTGCGGTTTTCTTGTATATTGAATTTTGATTCGCGAAATAACTTTGTTTACTGTTTTTCAGGTGGTCTGTTTTCCAAACAGCTCTTGACTCAGTATGAAGACTACAAGGAGTTCTACTCTCGAGCCAGAGAGTAAGTATAGCCATCGTTCACCGAGCCCATAAGACTCGAGCACCATAGACTACTCGATATCTAGACTATTGCCTTTTTGTTACTACCATTCTTGGGGTGGGGCATGGTTGGCTGTAATTTTAAACGTTCAGTGAGTCATCTCATCGATAAGTAATCAACTGCACCAGTTACAAACGCCACTTTCAAACCTTTACTCGCTTAAACATAGCGTCAAGCCTGTAGGTTGTACAAATCGGAGCAAGTTCCCTTCCCAGACAATACGATTCACCAGAGTCTGTAATGGATACCACTGACACCACAAATTATCCACAGCCACTGGGAAATTCAAACGAAAGTTACCATTCCCATTCCTAATTCCCGAGTAGTTAGCCGTGAGAAACACACTCACGGTAAAGTGTGACGCTTCCAATCGTCCAATCCCAACTTTCGCCATTAATTGATGTATCATTGAGGCAAAGGTTAAAAAAGTTTGAATATTTTTCAGTCGTAGGCAGAAATTCTAAAGCTTTGAAATATGCTTCAGCTACGTCTGATGGTGAAGTGATCGCTTTTCGTTTAATTCATGGTAAAGTCCTCCGGCAAGTAACAGTTGACGATTTAAGTTGAAAAGATCGGTGTTTTGTGATTAATGACACAATTGCTTTTTTGCCAAACCCTTTCTATTATGATAAAAAACTGAAGTTATCTTATGACGAGACAGTAAACGGATATGGACGACTTATTTGTGTTTATGGGTTAAATGTTTTTTATACAAAGTGAAAAAGTAGCTTAATGTATCTGTTTTAATATATAACTTTTTGGTTTTTCTTCCAATACCATGAGTTTGAATGCGTCTAAAATGCCTAGGCAATTAAATAAACTGTGCACTTTTAATGACACGGGTAATGGGTATAGTATTGGATAATTTTATATATGTGCTATGCTTACACTGTAACGTTTGCCGTTTCCCCAGGCTTCTCCGTGAGAAGCAGACAACGGACGAGGAGTTTGTTGAGTTCTGCAAGCTGCGGAGAGGCGCCGCCAAACACACACTCGATACTCTGCTCAGCTTACCGGTAAGTACCACCGCTCCAGAGACAAACGTTGACGTGAATTGACCCCACGATCAGCTACCCAGCTTTTTTTTAAAGCCAGCCAGCTTCCATTGCGAGCCGATGTAAGGGTTTCAGGTTTGCCCATGCCGTGACTAGGTAACCAAGCAAGATGCTATCGAGAGTGTCAGTTTCAGGGCATGTGCCGTGCCTATACGTCCTAGGGCATGCCCTCGTCCATCTCATGAAAGTCCAGCCTTCCTTTCTCCTTTTAGATTGGTCATCTGTAGGCAATAACTGACTGTTTGATAACTAACAACACAAGATGCGTAATAAATATTAGTGGCGTGGACCACCGAACCATGCCAAATGCCATACAATTGCATAGACCCTGATCGGTAGAAGCTCTCGTAAGGTGCTGCCGACGCTTCTCAACCGAACTACTGGTTCGTCGTTTTGCCGCTAGGTGTCGAGTGAAAGCGCAGCAGCTATGGCAGCAGCGCTCGAACGCAGAACGACTGCGTTCGAACGATCTATGAAGCTATGAGTGATACGGTAGCTATGTGTCATTGGCCTGATTACAACAGAAAGGGTGTCGCAACTGCTGCCTTTTTTTTCTTTTGAATCAGACTAAACTAGAACAAATTCTTCATGAGCGTGACTATCGATGGACATTCATATGTCCACACAGCAAATACCAGCCACATTTCCCTATATTTACAGCCATAATTAATGCTTATCGATATGTCGTCGGTTTTCCTAGCTCTGAGGAATGTCTTAATGACGACAGCCGCTGCCACAGCATGCAACGTGTCAGGTCGAGAGCCGATTTGACAAAGCGATGTCATTCCGTGGAAAACCGCGACAGCCACTGCGCTACATGCCGAGCTGCATTTGCCACACGTGCGAGGAGGGAGCGCCTCAGGTGCAAAGAACATTGTTGTTTCTTTCTCTTCCAAGTGTGGTTATCATGTGGGCTGCAGCAGCACATGCCAAATGGGCGAGACAACCAGGACACAGACCATGGCTTTTGTGGGCATATTTTTTTTTTTTTAGTAGAGAGGTGAGTAAATTTCTGAACTATACCCAAGAATGGGCTGCGCCCTGGGATCTTTCTGATGTCCCGTGGACGCATTTTTACGGGGTTCGATGGGTACATCCGTACTGAGAATCAGACGCGTCACTGAATGCCATTCATGAATCAGCCCAATGTTTCAAAGAAGGTATCAATAATCATGTACGTTCAACAGTGAACCTGTCCCGACGAATCCTGACTTAAAGGTTAGACATATGATTTGTAATCGTGGACCCCTATGTGTCGCCATTTTGGCTGTCTTTTTTTCTGGGACGAATGGGTGCCTGCAAGGTTGTAGCATTTTCCGCCGAAATACCTGTGACAGAATAGCTAGTCTTTGAAAGACCCCATTTTGTCGAGATCAATATATCGCGAACAAGTGCCTCTTAACCGTTTGATGCACTATTTTAAGTACAGAAAATCACACGCTTCCCTGTAAGACTACTCTCGAAGACCTCTATTTTTCGCTCTCCCTCTCAATGGAAAGGTAACCGCAAAAGGGAGCAAAAACGGTATCCATTCGGCGACCACTCGTCTCTTCCCTTTGAGACGGTGCTCAGAACCTACAAAAGGGTTTGCTTTGTCCTAGTTATTTAATTGAAGCCAATTATTGGATTATGAATGATCGGACAAACCATGGAGCTTAGTAAACCGAGCAGGGGTAGTTTGAGCTGAAGCAGCCGGCAGCAGCTTTGAACTGGGCTCGACAGATGGCAGCACTGGGCCAGGCGGCGCTGAGCGACCAGTGACTGCCTGGGCTAACCGGCTACCACCGCACTGGCACGTGGGCGACAAGAGGAGAAGCGAGAGTGAACCCCAATCAGCGGGAGGCTTGCCAGGCTGACACCGCTATGGTCCATCTTATCTAGGCAAGTCCTTAATGTTCAGGTTGTGTTCAGCCTCGTAACATTTCTTGGGACGCCATTTAATTGCGTCCCAGAAAAGCTATTTCTGGCACCTAAAAGCTGACTCGCCCCAAAATTGGTCCTCAGCACCTATTTGGTGGATACCAGCACCAATCATGGAAAATGACCTTAATTAGCTGTTTCTGGCACCTATTCATCGGTACGCCTTACTCTTTTTTCTGAATCTAGCACCTAAATGCTGAGCGTAGCACCAATCTAGTAGAAAAATGAACTACTGGCTGGTAGAATCATGTTGTTCTGGTATAATGACCCCTGGAGTCTAGCCTAAAGGTTGCCAGTGCAGCTACACTCTAAGACAGCCCCGTAGTGATCTCAGCATTGTATATGACGTTTAAGTAAGCAAATAATATTGATTTGTTTGAAAAAACAATGTCATTTAAATATTTAAAAGTATTTATTTGTAATGGTTCAAGGGAAACATTTTTGTGAGTTATTGTCTCGATTTTGACCATTAAAACGGGTATTGTATTTTTTGACGTCATCAAATAGCTCCAAAAAAGAAATGTAATGTTTTCATTCCGTTCAAGGCCGCTGAAGAAACGCGGGATCTTGCGTGGGACATTGTCCGTTGTTTGCCGCGCAGAGTTGTGCCGTGGTTGTGCCTTTTTCATCCGTTTCTTACTTATGTCATATGTGTGCATGAAGCTTTGATTTTGTTTTTGGTTATTGTGTGGCCGGTCAGTCAAACGCCCCTGTAGAAACCGGATGCTGCGTTTGATCGAGATGGAGTCAGACGATGATTGCAGAAAGCTAATAATATTGAAAAGAGGGCCGGTTGCGTGGCATGTCTGTTCAGAGTTGACATTTTGCTTTACTCCAGTTTATGACCTGAGAGCCTGGCTGGAAGTGACGGATCCAAACTTTTCACGTTAAAATGGCTGAGGGTGCAATAATCTCTAGTCTCTACATAGCGGGCTGGTATAGGAGCGTCTTGCTATGCTGCACCATAGCTGGCTAGTGATTCTCTTTTGGCTAGAAATGGCATTAATCATTATCTCCACTGGCGAAAATGGCACTTGACATCACCGAATGCAACGTTCATGTTGTTAGGATACATAAAATCAGGAAGATTACGCGAATTAGGTAGGCAAACGTGGAATAAAATAGGTGCTGGATGTTTTGGTTTTGGTGCTGAATCAGCAAACAGCAAATACGGAGTTCAACTAGACGATCTGGCAACTTTAGGCTGTGTGGAAGCAATTAGGTGCCAGATTCAGATATTAGGGTCGAATAAGCATTTTGGGGCTGATCAGCAATTAGGTGCCAGAAACAGCTTTTTAGGGACCAGAAACAAATATTCCCCCATTTCTTGCGCCTGTTAGAGTTTTAGTTGAGAGCTTAGAGATCAGCTCAAACGGTCGGTACGGTAATCAGTGCCGACTAGTATGAATAAGACGTAATTATTAATGAGTTTTAGATGAAAATGAACAGGTGTCGGCGCAGTTGCAATAGGTAATCGATGTTTTGTCCTTGAACGCCACATTTTCAAGCCATTTGTCTCCTGTAATTGAGGTGGAGACGGTATCGGGCTGATAGATCTGCACATTAACTAGCGCACTACGCCGCTTTGGCCGGAACTTTCATCACTTATTCATCTTCTATTCATTGTGCGCGGAATTTCCTCAACTTTGTTCATCACGCGCCGTCCTTCTCTCATTCTTTGTCCTCTGGAATCGGTGTTCCTCTCTCCCCCTAATTTGATGTAAGGCCAGTCAGTAATCGACAGGGAACAAACGCTCCATAAATCGACCCTGGCGATAGAGCGTGGCAGTTAGCGGCACGCGGCTCAGTGCAGAACGGCCCTTATTCCGGGCGCTGAGAGTCCCCTCCCCCTCCCTCCTTCCGTCCCAGGCTGACTTCACGGCCGTAACGTAATGATGGCCCGTCTTCAGGCCACGTAGCGCGTCACATACCAGCCACTGACCTCGAGTTCGGCCCGGTCACCGGCGCACGGGGCGCGTCCTTCCCACGGCCGGCGATGGGATCGCTCACTGTGCTTCGACAGGTACTTGAAGTGCCCAGTAATGGCGTGTAGTGAGGCAGGTTATGACGCTTCAAGTAGACCACGACCTGAACCACAATGCCGGCGCAAGGATGAAGCTAGTGGTCATGTATAGCAGACGTAAGCCGCTCGACGGAGGGCGTTCTCGCCTATTCCGTCCGTCGGTCTGTCGACGCGCTTGTCTTCCAACCCTCACCGCCATCGTGAGGCGTAGATATGAAGCGGGGCGGATCGCTTTGCAACGTAAACAATAATTAGGCCGGTGAATGCCGCGCTGCCTCCACGCCGACCGCGCCGGCCGGTCGGCCGTCCGTCCTCCGTATGCAGACAGACGAGCTACGGACCCGGCCGACCGGCCAGGCGGGCGGACGAACCGGCGCGGCGGCTGGACGGAGGGACGAACGGAGGGCCACGAGCTCCCTCACCAGCCGGCGCCGGTGGCGGTACCCGTTTTGTGGCGTCCGTGCGCCGGGCCGGAGGCGCCGAAGGCCGGCCCTGGAGCTCGCTCCGCGCTGCCCAGTTGGCGTGAAGGCGAACCTGACAGCTGGACGCTCGGGCGATACCATCTGGACTGGTGAGACCGTGTCTAACTCGCCGACTGCGGCTGGACGTTCGTGGTGTAATTGCAGGAGTTCCCTGCTCGCGGCGGCAGAGCTGTGGCTTTGAATCAGCATTGGTATTCATATCCCCTCGCTCGGATATGATTCGTATTGCGGCGAATACTGCCCTTCAGTGGTGATATGGGTCGGTAAATCCGTATAGCTAAGACGGCGATTTTATTACAGCAGGGGTCATCAGTCATGCGGTGTGACAGTCCCCTTCGGCTGTCACGTGCCAACCGCCTGTGGGCCGGACGGACGGGCGGACGGACGGACGGGCAAACGGATGGGCGACCGCCATCGCCGCCGCCGCACGCCGGCGCTCCTAGCTGAAACATTCCAACCTAATGACAGGCGTCCTTTGTTCTTGATTGAAACGGCGTTTAATTTGTGCGCTCAGGGTCGGTGGCAGCACATCAGAC